CTGAAATATTTCACTGTTTTTAAGGCAGTCAGTATGTCAGGAGTTCAGTAGCTTTCCTTTCTAGTGGCATAGACATTCACAGACCTCCACTATAATAGCACTGCTTGTTCTTTACTCGGGTGTTGTCAAATGAATTGGAAACGGTGTAGATATAGGTTATGTCAGGAGAATAAAAGCATCCTTCCTGCAACATAGCCACACACCAAATCCAGTTCTTGACTTGGTTCTGAGACTTAAAAGAAAAAAACCCAAAACCTCCCCATAGTTTTAAAGATGTCCCATCACCAAATTTCTTCAGGCATAAAGGAGATCTCGGCTAAACCCACAGCTCTTGCTCAAAGTCACCAGGACTTTGAAAACCTAGTCTATCCCAGTGCTTGGAGGAGGGCTGAACTTCCCGTGGGCTGGTGGGGAGCTACTTGCTCCATGCGAGTTCCCTGTTGCTCCTGAGCCAGTCCTGCCCCACAGGGTGGTCACGGTGTGGTGGGGACCCCTCTTGCATGCCTTCGTAATCGCAACCTGCTGGGGTGTTGTTAGAGCACACTGTCTGCCTCCTACCACCGCAAGAAAGAATTCCACAGGGGTGCGTGAAAAGCTGTTCTGTTGAGAAAAGTGCTTTCAAGCAAGAAGTCAGCATAATTATAGGACAAACTAGCACTAGGCTGCTGCCTGTCAGCCAAGAGAATTATTGTTTGTGTCAGAGATGGAGTAAAGAGGGAAGTAGGTGGGAGATAACCGGAGGAGGTAATCTTGGTGACAACTTTTGCCAAAAGAGTGTGTGTAGGAGGACAGCGGAGGAAGAGGAGAGTATGGAGGAAGATGCTATTGAACTGAAATAGAGGAAGAAGCCTCAAAAAAGGATGATGAAACTTTCCAGAATCTAAAGAAACAGGAACACTTCATCTTTTCTGTGGGTGCTAATGGGTAGTACCAGCCAGCATGCCTGGGCCCAGGGAAGGAGCTGATTGTGTACAGAGCCCTGTGGTATTTGGGAAAGGCTAACTGCAGGTAATAAGCACCTGGAATTGTGTCCGTAGTAAATAAGAGTCATATGTGAGACTGTCTGTGCAGTTTGATGTTAGCCATATGTGGTAGGGAGGCATTAAGCAATGAGACTTGTAGGGACATCTCTAATAAAATGTGGAAAAAGGCCTTTGCTGTAACAGGTGTCTGGGAATAAACTGAGGACAAAACAGGACGGAAGATAATTGAAAACAAGGCGAGTGATACTAATGGGGCTAGGCAGCCTGTACTGTTCTGAAGGGCTGTTATGGTAGGAGCCAGGACTTAAAGGCTGTGCAGCACCTAGAGAAACTGAAGGACTTTTAAAATTATTTACTGTTATTTTGAAACTCTGATTCAACGATTGCTATCTCTGAGCAAAGCCCATATACTGTGGCTTACATCTATTGAGTATAGCATGAAAGGGGTATCTGGAATTAGAGAAACAAATACTCTGCAAGATATTTATTGTGCAGTTCGATAAAATTCACAGCAGGGAAGCTTGCATTGTGTATTCTCTAATTCTAGCTGACCACAAAATATAAGAAAGGTTGCTTTACTCTGTGTATCAAACTGCATATCTTTAGCCCTTGCTGACATTTTAATCTTCTACAAAATAAGGTAGGACTTTTAAGAAGGAACCATTTTAACCCAAACAGAAGGGCAGGGCTACTACCTTACCTGAAAATGTCTTGTTCCAGCTCATGAGTCCGTTGTTGGTCCTCCCGATTCTGCTTTTGCATTTCTTCTAGCTCTTTTGGAGTCAGAGAACTAAGGCCATCCAACAGCCATTTTTCTCGCAAGGCCTTTTTCTGATGGGGGAAAAAATACAGACAAGTAAGCATCCTTTAAAAGTTAGGATATGCAGTCATTTACTGTATTTCTCTTGATGCCACAGGTGTGATCCACATCCTTGTGCTGTATCTGGCATAAGGCAACCTGACAGCACTGATTGCTGCTGAAAGAAATACTAAGAAACATTTGTGTTCTTGAGATTGCCCCTACAACAGCATCTCTAAATAAGTCAATCCAGGGCTTACATATTTAGGTCCTGACCCATTTAGTGCCTGTGGAGTCCTTTCTGTACAGCAGTGGCTTATAAATGGCCATATTGCATGTGTAGAGGTGAGTGGATCTCTCAGCTGTGCTTTCAAGTTTTGAAAAATACGGCTGTATGCACTGATTGCTTCCTACAGCTGCCTTACAATATGAAAGGTGGCATCTGAAAGTCATCAGAGCTTTCTAAAATATTCCTGGTGGGGGAAAAAAATATTCGTGGAGATAAGTTTATATTTGCAGGCTAGAGGTTGTAAACCATGCAAACTTTTCTTCACTCTATTCCCGTCAGTCTAACTGGGGAATATAAATCCAGTTGCTGCCTTGGGGAAGAAGTGGGAGTCAGGGTTCCTTAGAAAAACTCTTTCAAAAGGGGGGAAAAAAGCATGCATATAAGGGTTTTAATTGACCATGAATTTTCCATTTGTAATTTCGATTCCTTGAGCTGTCTGACTTCCATGTTAGGTTTTTTGTTTTTGTTTTTTTTTTCCCCTCTATAGTTTTGTAGGTTGTGGGTGAAGATTAAATTGGATTTTGACTGCTCCGCTTTGTGCCCAGCAGTGGTGAGAAGGCTGCATTAACCTCACTGCTGCTTGCAGTGGCTCTTGGAATCCCTGCCCGCATCCTGTGTGTTGAGTCACTTAAACTGTTGCTTCCTACACTTTTCTGTTTACTGTATACTTTACAGGAGGTTATTACTGAGGCCCAATCAATGGAGGAGGATGTGTGTAGGACCTGATTGCAGTTAAATGCAATTTTCAATTTGCTTGATGTGTGACATATATGATGTGATAGAAACTGTGGCTAGAACAGGCTCGTTGGGAATTCTGTGGCAATCCAAGGTACTTTTATTTCTTTTTTTTTTTTCCTTTGTGGAACATAGGAGCAGCGTTTCTGTGTTTCCAGTTGCCTTAGACCCGAGGGACAGTACTTTGTCTCTTAATGCTGGATCCCAGGAGATCTGTGGGAAACGAGGGCTGCTCAAGACTGATGTCCCGAGCCTTGACTCTGGCTGTAGGATGATCACTTGGCAGCACTTCCTGGCAGTTGTGTCTTAAGCTCAAATGAAATATAAATGCAGATTGTAATAGAATGTTTTTACCCAATATGGTAGATGCACGTAGCCTGGTGTTGGCACAACTCTTTTTGACCACAAAATACTGTTTTCTCAAGCTGGAGGGAAGAGAGTTATCAATTCCCTTTCAATAAAGCTGTTTAGATTGTAATGATAAGTAAGGCTCCTAGAAAAGTGAGATTTTAATCCTGGCTGGAACTGAATTAGTCTAGCATTGCTGTCTCCAAAAATAAATCCATAATTCCTTGTGAGAATTACCACAGGGCTGGCATTGTAGAGCTCAGAAACCAATAACACCCATTGAAATAAAAAAAGCTTCATGTACCTATAGGCCCAAGAAAACAAACTCCCTAAAGACAGGCAGAACACAATAGTGTTATTTTCGCCTTTTCCTAGAATAGTTTGCTGCTGCTCCCAACTAAATGCCATGTAATCTTTTTAATTTAATTAGCCACTTCTGAAAGAATGAGACATTGTGTAGTTTGGAAACAGCCTTTGAACAACAGATAGTTTCAAGGCTGCTCCATTGGGGCATCAGCATAAGCCTGTGCAGGAGCAGCTGCTTCGGGGCTGTTGGGTTCTTTCTGCTGTGTAGCATTTCGTTCTGCTGTAAAGCATCTCTGGCTCGGTACTAGGTTGTGTGTGTGGTTTTGCGCTTATATGAAAGCACTTTCATTATGCATTAGGCTCGGTATGTTAAGGGAAAGGGATACTTCTACATTGTGATGTGATAAGACCCTGGGAATGGCCAGAGTGCTGGAAAGCAGTTGCTTTCTTTTGTAAGTTCATGGTCGCATCAGGAGTACTGTGACAATATTCTGAAAATTCTGTGAATAAATGTCCTATGCGTGCTCCTGCTGTAACTCCACTGTAATCCTTCCTGAGGCTGGACTAACACTTAGGGAGTCATCCTCCCTGGAAGGTACAGGCACAAGTGTTTTGAGTTTGTGGGTCTTGCTCTCCCAGCAGTATGGCAGTTCACCTTACGGCACGTTGGGGGAGCCATGAATCGTTTTCGCAGAAGAGGTAGTTCAACACTGTTACCTCCTGGAACGAGAAGGTATGTGCCCAGCACCTCCCAGGTAGCACTGATGGAGTTCAGGCATGTCAGAAATGAAACACTTACTAAGCTAAACTAGAAAAGTTCTTGGAAAGTATGTGCAAATCAGTGTTGACTATGCTTTTCAAGCAACTCTGTCTGGGCCTTTCCCTTGTTGCCTCAGTGAGAAGGACACCAGGTAGGAAGAAGAATTAGTTGCTGGTGCATCTAGAATTACTTAAGGATGAAATTTCCCTTGTACCCTCACTAGGAGCCCCTGTTACCTCCTGCAGTTCCATGAAGCCCTATCCACACAAGTGTGTGTATTTGCTTGTGTGTCCTCCGCTTCATGTGGTAGAGGCGCACATGCAGGGAATAATATTCCTTCTCCAGCATGGTTCTGCTGGATAACTAAGGCCTGTTATGATACCTCATCTGTTTTCTCTTTCTAGTAAGAAGTTAGCCTGGGGACAGCAAACAAAGTCATTGGGAAGCCAGAACAGATATTCCTGTTTACAAAAAGGAAGTTTAAAAAAAAAAAAAAAAGTACCAAAAAACCTCACAAAACAAAACAAGAGACTTTTAATAAACATCTTGCTAAGGGTTATAAACAGGAATGAAGAACAAAATGAGGAACAGGATAGTGATATCCAGCTAACAGCGGGATTTACTAACCTGCAATAGTTTCCTAAGGGACACATGCGAGTTATGTTGAATAGGTCATGGAGCCCTGGATTTCACCATGCGTAACTGGTCGGAGTATAAATGAGTGAGATCAACCTGACTCGCTAGGGAAATGAGCCCTCAGTAACACTTACAGAAGTGCCTAAACATTTTAGAAGTCTAAATCTGTTTTTAAGTGATTTCTGCGCTAGTTTCATGTGTAGTTTGACTCCATTGAAATATCTGAATTAGTCTGAAGCAAAAACATTTGTTCAAGGACAAAGCTTCCAGGGCATCAAGCAGGGTTTGTTCACATAGTAATGTCGCATCTTATATTAGGTGCCTGTCTCGGTACTCAGTTGGAAAAAGTAATCTCCATTTTGGGTGCTCCAAATAGCTAATGATACATATGTATTTATACACCATATGTGTGTATATATATTTTTAAATGTATGCTTGATCCCCCTTTGCCAAGTGAATAATTTCCTCTACAGATCCTTGATTCACCTCATATACAATATGACCAATTTTAATTTAAAAATTTTTCAGTACGATATCTGTGTGATTTTTCATAGAACAAGCAAACAAATCACATCCTCTGTCTTCTTCCAAAGGAAAGGAAGAGCATTTCAGTAATACTTTTTTAGGAGTGTTTGAGCTTCTGTAAAATTCCATAAAATATCTTCAGAATAAGTGCAAGGTGGGTTTTTGTTTTCTTAACTTTTTAACTCTGTGGTACCTATTAATGTTATCTGAAGGCATGTACTAAATCTGTAAGGAAAGTGCCCTAGGACTCCATCTGTGCACAGCAGTAGTGAGGATTAGCTGGTTGTCTAGAACAGATCAGTTTATCCTTCTTAAAAGAAGGGCAAAAGAGTCATTCTGAATTTATAGGCATGGAAACTTGAAACACAAATTGCAGTACTCTGTGTAACCATGTGCCAAGATGGAGGAAGACGGTCACACGTCTGCTGCTCGTTAGCTACAGGGCTTGGAAAAGCCATTCCCCTCCCTTTTAGGCAAGACGTTACACAGTTGGTCAAGCCGGTCTCAACGGTCACTACCTTCCAATAAAACCTAAGCATGGGTGACTCTTGCATTGGCTTGCCTGGCCCAGGGAACTAATTTATTATAACTTCCCATTTTATTTTTTTTTTTTCTTTTTGGCCTGACACAAAAGAAGAGGGTGGATGAAACCCAGGATCGGCTGCCTATTTTGAAGAGGAGTCTGTTTTAAATATGCTGCTCCCACATTTGCTTGAGGAGACGTGCCACGCTCCTGGTATGGCATTCAACATATCTTTCTTGAAACAGTTTATGCACTCACATAATTGAAAGGGTATGTAAAATACCAAGTCTTGCATGTTTCTAGAAGCATAGATTTTTGTCTCATCTCCCTAAATGACAGGTACTGCCAGACTGCAAGAGACATTTAAGGAGTGGTGGTGTTGGGTAGAAATCACTGCAATTTCGAGTGTCGACAGGGGTGAATCTTATGGTATCTTGGTAATTTGGACTTTGTAACCCTGAATTTACCATGCCATATTTCAGGACAATATTTGAAGCATTTATGCTTGCTTTTTTTTTTTTTTTTAATATATAAAGAAACAGCATTATTTTACCAAAGAGATGTTAAACAAGCTGACAAGAGGCTATAGCCAAATAAAAATGGGCTGCTTTTTCTTCCCAGAAAAAAGTGCAATTAGACCTCATGATTGTGCTGCACCCTGTACCAAGTGAGGTTGCTGTAGTGGAATTAAGGAGTGAACACACCCAGTCTGAAATGCGAGGCTTAATTTTCAGCTGTGAGTTATTCCTGGTTATGATCTCATTTTATGCCATGAAAGTGATCAAATAACACTAGCTCCTGAGTATAATTTTTTTTCAAAGGGTGATGCTTATTAAAGTCAAATGGGAGTCCTGGCAAGATTCCAAAAAGCTGTGAAAATTTGACAGTAAAAGCATGACTTAAATGCATGAAGATTTGCATTCCAAAATCCAAAGCCTTTATTCATGCTGAACAACTTGAGGCTATCTTTAGTTACATAAATCCAACACTTTACTTACCTTTAAATGTTGATGTTTCATTTTTTCCTCTTCCACTTTTAGACGTTTCTGTGTAATTTCTTCTTGCAGTTTTCTTTTGTCCTACAAATTAAGAGAACAATAAAACTTAGAGAAATTACTTGTTGCAAAAAAAAAAAAAAAATGTTGTTCAGCAGCGTGAAATCAAGCCATGCAAATAAAGCCTTATTTTTAAAGCTTGTATGGTGCTTAGGCAGTGCCTAATTCTTAGCAGCAACAGCTCATGTCCTGTGCAGGTAGGGTTTCCATGACTCCTTCTCTGAAGTATGTTTAAACATGTTAATGACCACGAAGCAGGGATGATCTAAATTAAAAATAATTTACTGTTGGGAAGGGTAGGGAAATAGAAAATGGGAAGAAATAACATTTGAGCACAATCGTACGTGCAAAATGAGGTTAGAAATGAGTCTTGACCAAAATTCCTCAGGCAGCCCACACGTCATTTAGGAGAGGAGAGCCTGCGTGGTCTGCACTCTGCAGCTGTGATACATTGCTAAAGGATATGGGCTGTTGGTGAACCCAGCACTGAGCTTACATATCTTATGACTGATAGCTGAAATAACCAGGAATAAAGACATAGAAATTTATTTCATTAGTGGTAAAGGTGAACACAGAAATGTAGTATGCTTCATATATGTTGTTGTTACCTCTCAATTTAGAAAAAAAAAAAAATAAATTTTTGTCTGTGCAAAGGCTCTTTTCATGGCTGTTGAACTTTAGAAGGAAAAACCTCAGGTAGTATTGATCTATCATAGTGCTACCTTCATCCCTTCTGCTACAGATTATAGAAAAAAAAGGAAATGGGTGAGCAGCCTGTGAACGCTGGCAACGCTTGAGCCTCCTGTGACTTTGGATAGCAGCGTGACGTGGAGCGTCCTTGCGGCTCCTCTATGTGAGGCCAAACGCCGATTTAGTACTTTGTGTCCTCAGCAGCCGGTGGGGAAGAAATCATGCCAAAGGAAGCCAACTTACAAGCTGTATGAATGGGCTATTCTCTTGGCCAGCCTTAATGCTCTAAAATCCTGCTGTTGGACAGGGCAACTTCTGCACTTCTTGCTTGGTATGTTTTAGGGAAGTAAATTAAACCATTTGCCGTCCTGTGCAGACATGTTTGCTGACTGGAGGCTAATCCCCCTTTCCATGACAACAGATTACTGATAGGCTTTTTTAAGAGTCTGTTTTCAGACAAGTGTGGTCTAGGAAGGAGTTAACTTCTTCACAAATCTAGGAAGAGCCTTGCCCTTCCAGCTCACCTGAGGAATCAGAAAGTGCTGGGCATGAGGCTGGGAGCTGTTCTCCACAGTTTCCCTGGGATCTGGGATTTGGAAATGGACAGAGCCATAGCGTGCTTGGCTGAATCACTTCACTGTTACTGGAAATCGGAAATTAGCAGGGGGGACATGAGCTATAGGGATGCTTTGTTGAAGGGTAGGATGTGGAAGAAACCACTGAGCCTTGTGGAGATCATGGGCAGGACTACAGGCAGGGCTGAGGGTACGCTGGGGCTTAGCAGGGTAGACTCATTCGAGTGTTGGTCAGCTCTCTTGCAGCTTGCAAAGTGCAGTAGCCATCTGTAAACACCATCTATACTCTACAATTTTTCCTTGATGCTGTTATTCTGCCTCTTTAATACACAGGCAGGTAGGGATCTTGCCTCAAGATACACGCTGCTTTCATCTCTGGAGCGGGTTTGAGTTTTGCCAGTGCTCCTTAATCCGGTTAACAAAGCTACTGAGTTAAGATCACTACAATGTGTAATGTTTCTGCAGTGTCCCTTTTTAAAGACTTTATCCAAGAGCTGCTATGCTGGATTTCACTCAGGTGGTCCTGATTTTGGAGACACAGCATCTGGGCTTTGACCTTCACACCTCTCCTCAATTAGGAAATATTCCTGTTCTCATTGTATAAATGGTCCTTAAATAACTCATCATTAGATGAGCAAAGTGTGACAAGAGCTTGTGTTTACAGACTCTTACAATTCTTTTGTAACCGCTTTTTCTCTTTAATAAAGTTCTGGATAAGATTCTTAGCTAGAGAATAAACTTTTTCTTGGTTTATACTATTAAAAAATATTCTAAGTAAATTTAAATATTTTTTTTTACCAGTGGAGAGGTGAACTAAGAGTTTGGGCAGTCTGAGATGTACCACTGAGAAGTGGTACACAAAAATACTGTGCAGGAAGAAATGAGGGTGTAAAGGCACAAATAACTGCATTTTGAATTAACTGTGCAATAAGGAAACTATTCAGAAATGGAACTTTTGCCTGTTTCTCTTGTTAGAGGTCTGGGTTTCTTTTGCGTACCATATTTTTTCTCTTAAAGATTTCTACTTGTATCCTTTGGTGTTCCAGCATGTTTTAATTTCACTGGTTGGTAATAACTTAATTTTACTGGTTGGTAATAAACATCCATTATACAATTATCCAGATTAAATAGGTTGAAATAGATTGTCTTTTCTGTATCTAGTCAAAGCAAGCTGAAAGTCTAATGCCAGAAGCTAAATTCAAGGATGATGTATGAGGAGCCTTTTTGATCCTTGTGTTGCCAGAATAACTTTTAAAACCCGTTTGGACACTTCTTGCAGTGTATTCTGCCATGCCAACCACGTCTTGCTGTACAAAGCTTTGACTACACGTGTAATGGAATAAACGTTTGTTCCTAGGTAGCCGAGAGATCCATGCTTCTGCTAAACTTCCCACTCTGCCCCTGTAGATGATCAGGGTGCTGGCAGAAGTTCTCTAATGCTCTCGTACTATGCCTGTGTTAATGTGGGCAAGATTTGAGTTTTATGAAAAAGCACCCTCGTCCCTTCCTCTCTGCTGTGCATCAGTGCAAGGTGGGACTTGAACCTTGGTCCTGAGTTTTGCTCCTATGGAATCAAGTGGGACTCTTTCCTGACTTTTCAGCATAGAAAATAATCGTGTTCTAAATTGGCTCTATCTGAAAGGAAGGGAATAGCATCTACAGAGCAGTGTCTTGCTAGGTATCTTGTGTGCCAAGGCCATTAGTCTGTGCCAGTGCCGGCCTGCCTGCTCCCGTGGCAGGTGCCGGGTACTGTCAAGGCCAATGGAGCAGCTAATATTTTAGCTGATGCATTTTTGTTTTCATACAATTTTCCAGAGGTAATGCTTAGTTATTGAGGGGACTCATCTGGAGGTATGGGCACTTTAGTCTGATGGCATGAGACCACAGAAATGTCATAAATCAAATCTTTAATCACAATTCAAATCTTCTATCATTTTTGTTTTCCCATAGAATGGAGGATTTGATGAGAAGGGGTTAAGCCTATGGTTCCTCTTTGACTGTTTTGCCTCAGTATGTTTGCCACAGCAAACACTGAAGCTTTTGTATTTTAAGATACTACGACAGTCTCTCTCTAATGATATGGATGCATTTTATTTTTTACTTGTTATATTCTATATACACCACCAGCAGGTGGGAGCTATATAACAGAGAAAACCAGTTCCTTTTCAGAGCCATGGGAGCATAGAAATCTTAAAATAATAATAATACCAGGGTTTTCCTTTTTGCTTTGCTATATAGAGAAGATACGAAAAAGACTTTGAAACCCCCCAGTGGATCTGCGGGAGCCAGATGCTGTAAAGGAGCCAGGCATTTAACAACAGAAACCAGCCAGGTTTTAGTGCAAACGTAGTTGTTTGCTGCTCTGGGTACCCGAGCGCCCCTTGCTATCCTCTGTTAGATTCTTTACAATGTGCATCCTGTAGGCAGCACTTGAAATTCCCAGGTATGCTGCTCGGGCCAAACCTTCCCGGAGCCACCGAGTAACTCGCAGTTCTAATTGTAACGTGTTGTTTCCTTGGACAACTCGTATTGCCAGTTCTTAAACCTGATGATAACTCCACCTTCATTAGGCTCCTTTATTTCTGTAACAAATACACTGAGCGTTTCAATTAAATGCTCTCAACTGATGAAAGTAGAGAGCAAATAGTCCCTTCATGCAGTAAGGGTAATAAATGAAGTCATGGCCAGAACCCAAATATGATTTCCTATTTCATGTAATGCAAGACCCTGGAAGCTGTCACAGTTTCTTAAAAAAATACTTCTCCAGGACTCATCTGGAGGTGCAGAAGCAGTCAGAGGATGCTAACCCTGGTAGGTTTGTAGGAGTCCTCATCAGGCAAGCGTGCTGCCCGTTCCTCCTGCCAGGCACCAGGAAATACAAAACAGCGCAAGGCCTGGGCTTCTCTGGAGCGCCGAAACATTTCTTATCTTTTGAGCCCATACACTAGAGACAAAGTCCAGGTTATGAGTCTGGTTCAAACACTGTTCCAGTTAAACAGGGAAATGTACTCTAAACCCTCTAAAACATTTCAGTTTACCTTATTGTGGGCTTGAATCCAGGTCTCTAATAAATACAATAAATTGTCCTGGTGGCTTCTATTAAGTGTCTTAATTAAAACCCAACCAAATAAAAACCCAACCTCTTCAGCTCCTGTAGGTGTCCAGTTATGCCTTTTCACATTTCTCTTGGTTCCAATAAGGTGTTTTTTAACTGGCCACCACTTATTCAGCCAGTAGTATTTGTTTCACAAGTAATCTATCATGCAAAGAGTGGGAAAAATATTGTTGTTCCCATTATTTGTCTTTAAAGGTTGCCTGTGACAGTGATCCTTCTGCAGTTTCCCTTTCATCCCAAAGGGCCAAATTTTGTTTCAGTTTAATTCTTTTCTAACTGTATAGGTTTCAGCGGAGATCAAATCAGAGGAGAATTTGGATTCAGCCATTTTTGCTACATCAGGTTATATTCCTTTAAAAGGTAACTCAGGAGTTCCTTTAAAACACAGTATATCTTTTGAATCAGATTTCCCTTTAGAAGAGAAACTGAGGATGTTTTCTGATGTCTTCAGTGCAAACTTCACTGAGTCCCCCTTTTTTTTTTCCTTTGAAAACTGACAGGTATGAATTTGCTTAATCCAAGCTTGTTCTTTTTTACTTTTCAGGCAGCAATATTTACGATAGCTCATCAATAATTCAGAAATTACATTTAATTCCACAATGCAAAACAAAAAGTCTTTTATCTCTCAGTTTTCTTGTGAAATGGGAAAACAGTTTTGTTCTGGAATTCTCTAGCTGCATTTTGACCTGCTGTCCTTCAGGCAAACATTCAGCTGCGATGACAGTAAATATGTATTTTAGACTGTCCAGTAGTGATTTGCACACGTACTTTCACTGCTTTCAATTTAATTTGAAAGTGCAATGCAACCCATAATAAAGTCAGTGCAGGCAACTTTGCTGTCTTAAAGCAATAGCTTATAAACCCGAATTAAAAAGTAACAATTTCAAGCAGACATAAGTATTTTTCTTTTTCTATCCTGGTGTAAATCATTCTTCAGAAAACACCCAGTAGCTCACTAACACAATACTGCTTCTAAGCTTTTTTTTTTTTTTTTTCTTTAATAGCAAATTATAAGTATAAGCACTTACTGTTATGGCCTGGAATCTTTCTTTCAGCAATTCGGCTTCCTCCATTCTAGAAATCAGAAACAGACAAGTAGTGAAGGAAAACAGAATGAGACCATAAGCAAAAAGCCTCCTGGTGGGGCTACAAAAAAAGCCGAGGGGATTTGATCCAAGTCCAGAGCAGCGAGAAGGCAGAATTTTTGACTTGTCGGGAGAGTCCCTGAGGAGATGAGCAGATCGGTCCAGGCGGACACATGTAACGAGGGTGTGTAGGAAGAGGCAGACGTGGAGAGCGCTGGCATGAGCTGACTGACAAGTTGGAACAGTGGAGCACAAGCCCTTTTCCTTCAGAAGCTGCCAACTCTTTGTTTTAATGTGCTCGGTTAGCGTGCCATTGCTTCTTTAACTCTTAAATGCCCAAACCAGAATCTTCCAGGACCATGCTAGAAGTAAACTTTTATTAGGTTCCTATTTCTCTTCTCTCTGTGTATGTTTCTGGTGATGACCAGATATTTTGAACTCATTAAGTTTTCCTATTTCTTACGACACTTATTTCACCTGTGTGTTTTAACCTGCTGTAACGTTAGCACTGTAGAGGGCACAGGGGTTTTTGAGATGGCAGTTTTAGTTTCGTTCCCTGGATGAAATTTTTAGAGAAGCTGTATTCATAGCTGGAAGAATGGTTTAGAACTGCTAACCTAAAGTAAAATAAACTTTAAGCAATCAGCTCTGCCACTGAATGCAAGCGTTAATCTGTGCAATTAGTGGTCAGCTATCTGGGACTCAGGGGAAGCTTTGTTTAAGTAAGGATTTCGGGATCATCATTTCAGTGTTACCAAGACGAGTCTACAATGCCAGCAGCTCTCATTGCCTTTCAGCTGACTTGAAGGGTATTTCACTGCGGACTTTTGCTGAAAACAGCATTATGCTCCTGAAGGGGTGGCGTACATTTTGACCTTTCCAATCCCGCGAGTGGGAGTCAGCCTTCCAAAATCGAGCTAGGAAACTTGCAAAAGAAGTGGAACCACCTCTAGTAAAATCCAGTGGTGGAAAAAATCCCAAACAAGATAAAGCTGAATTCAAACAGCATAAAGATGTAATGTGAACCTGGGATCCTTTTGCTTACCCTTGGTACCCTCTAACTTAAGTCTTTGTAAGGACACCACCAGCAGAGTCAGTCAGCACGGTTGGGGTCTTTGCTGCTAATTCACTGAGATGACGACACGCAGCAGGATTTGGCGAGGGCTTTTACTTTACATGTCAGTACAGGGACCTGAATCTTGGTGGCAAATCAGGCTCGTTGCTAGCAAATTCTAAGACATTATGGAATCGAACACCCAATGGTGAAGTTGCATCCTCATAATTCAATGTAAGTCAGTATTTAATTTCAATTTCCACATTTCTAGTATGTCATCACTCACTGACACACACAAGCAGACTATTGCCATCCACACTGGGATTAGGGACGTGTTAATGTTTTGTTTATCCTGTGATCCACCCTGAGGTTTTGTTCAAACTTGCAAAGACCCCAGGTTTTATTCTCCAGTGAAGATTTTGGGGTTTTTTTCTTAAATATTAATCTATGCCTCATTTGGTCAGCACCTGAAATTAAAAAAAATTACCACATGAAAGCAAATGTGAAGTTCAAAGGCAAGTGTACTGAGGTTTATCAAGAGACAGTTTACATGGGAATTTAAATGTGTTCAGTTTATGGATTTGAGGATGAGTTCAACCACCCCACTGAATTAAGTATATTCTCACTGCAGAAGCCAATAGAGAGACAGTCGTTCTGTTTAATCTTCCATAAGTTAGTACAGCCTGCCTTATTATGTCTTGAAAAAAACCCAAACTTATTTATTCTGTGCTTTTTGTGAAGTTAATCTTAAAATTTAAGTGCATATGTGGACTTCAAAATGTTTAAAAATATTTACAGAGGCAAATGATTACATCAGAAATAAGGGAGCCTGGTTTGGGTCAGAATCTGTACTCTGACATAAATGAGATTCGATTCTCAGTGGGTGGGGAAAGGAGATCAATATTTCAAGTTCAAATTAGAATTAATGGGATTACATTGCTTTGAATTTTTATGATTTATTTTCCTAACTTTATGTTCCAAGATTATTTAAATGCTTTTAAAAACCTTACTTATGGATGTTATACATTTGCAGACGAGAAAAGTATTTGACAAGTCTTTCCCTAATCAAAACCCCCAGATTTTGAAGTAACCCGAAGATGGTTTCTAAAATGTTGCTTCCCTTTTTAAGTGACCGTTATTAAGAAAGTATTTAAAGCCCGCTTCAAACATTTTAAAATGTTTAAATCATATCTATCCCCTTGCTAGGCAGGATTTGTTGTTCAGTCAATAGGTTGTTTTCCAGTTGTCTTAATCCTATTCTAAATGGGATTTATGTGCAGCAGAAGAAATGGGCCAGCTGTCATTTCGTCTGCCCCTTAAGCCTGCTCTGCCAATGGAAGCATCCACGGTGTTATAGGTTAGATCAGGGAATCCGAACAGCTGTGTTTTCAGTCCGCAGGATTCTCAGAACAAAGTTTTTCAGAACTTGCCTGACAGAAATATCTCCAGAGGAAACGATCCACCTATTCTGACAGTTTAAGCAAAGAAAAAAAAAAAAAAGAAGAAGAAAGGTAACTTTTGCAAGAATAATGTGTTAGCCTGTGTTTCTGCAACTGGCAGCTGTATATAGTTCTTTTGGTAGGACACATTCTCTGAGTTGTGCAGAAAATGTTTTTTTTATCGCACAATGAGTCATACAGGTTGGCTTTTTTTTTTTTGCTTCACTTCTTCCTTTGTTCGTATCCATTTTGCACTGGGTACCTAATGTAGAAGTAATAATGAGACTCTAAAGCACGAGGTGAAACAGTTGCATTATGAAGCCTCAAAGGAAAATGGGTGGGAATTTAGAAGAATGCAATATCCTGAACCAAAATCTAGAAGCTGGACCACAGAAGCACTTTCATGGCTGGAAATGCAAGTTCCGTGGTCCATTTCTGGAGCCAAGTCTGAGTACCGGTGTAGAGAAATCTGGTCAATTCAGGACTGGAGCGGCTGTCCCTGGCCATACCCTCCAGACAAAACCGTCCTCAGCTCTACTCTTACTCATCACATGGGGATTTCTTTTGAAACAAATCATTAACCTGAGGTAAAACACGTACAGTGAGTTATAGATTATTGGACTAGCAAAGAATGGCTTCTGAAAAGAAACATCTCATGAAAGATAAGGAGCAAGAAGCTTTCACTTTTTGAAAAAGTGTATTTGAAGTGAATGGAGCTGATGAGGTTGTTATCAGTTGAAAACCTAGCCTATACTTTCTGGAAAGAGGGGCTAATTTTATCACCGCTTCGTGCATCTTACCTAGCCTGATTATTTTGCTTCGTGATGAGCTGCCTTCTGTAGCTGTGCTTGAAGCAGGAAAAGGGCGTTTTGGACGTGGTATCAAAATGAATTTTGTATACTTACAGCGAGTAAATGCACTGCCACTATGCATCTGTCTGCATGTAGCCTTGAACCTCTGACAGCAGAGGAATGGAGGGGAGATAAAGTTTATTGGAGGTCCCTCACTGAAAACGTCTGCTGCGGCGTCCTGTCAATTGACCCAAAGCTCTGGTGTCTGGGATGCCTCGGCTGACTGAGAAATGGTCTCTTCTCCAGCTAGAACCAAGATTTTGCATTTTAAAGGTGAAAAATAAGCCAACAAGAAATAGAAATTTGAAGATCTGAAGCCGTTCGTTTATTCCAGATGTCATGCATACAGATGGACAACTCAAGCCTTTGGGTGGTTGCTCCCAAAACGTTTTTTCTTCAGAGAGACTTTCTCTTTAGCTGTATGTTTTTTCCCAAAACAAAAAAGTTTGTTTGGCTCACTCAAAGGTTGGTTTTGATGGCCGGTTCCACCATTGGTCTGCAAAGTACTTCCAGCTCTTTCAGTCAAATGGCATTAATGTTGCACAATAAGCTCAAACAGCTTTTGTCTAGGATGCATCCAGGTGGGTGGACTCTTCTGGGGTTCATCAGGGTGATTTTTTTTTTTTTTTTTTTGGCTAAAAAGCTTAAGCCAGTTACACTTTGCTGATGGAAAACTTAGCAGTAAATAAAAGGGTTGAAGTCCGGGGAAAGAATACTAGGTGGCAGCAGCACCTATCACATTAAATTTATTTTACTTTAACCTGGTTTCTTTCATATTATAAATAACGTATTTTCACGTATCCATCAAGTCATAAATTCCAAGCTAAACTGGAAGGTGTTTCATGAAGAATGTGTGTGTTGGTAACGGAGAAAAAAGCTTTAAAGTAAGGATAACCTAGAGAGATGAAGTTAACCATCCCCAGAATATAATTTTATGTACATGAATATGTGTATATATGCAAATATATATAAAATAATTATTATTAATTAGTAAAGATATTGGGTATCTTTAAGGGTACTTGTACATGTTTAAATACTGCATCTAGGGGTACGCGTAACTACCAGGCTAGTCGTGTGTCGCATGTCTATGGGAGACTTTCCGATTGCTTGTTTTCTTTCCGTGGCGTGTACATCTGTAGCTTTCTGGCCTCTCTGTTTCTGTTGGTCACTAAATCTTTGATCGAATGACCTGGTTAGCAGGCGGGATTGCCTGACCCTTATCAGGCGAATAAAATTTAAGATGCTTTCTTTTAGACTTTAGTCAGAGTCCAGATTATATTATCCAGTATGCTTAAAGCTATGTGATAAATCAGGGGGAAAAAAGAGAAAGAAAAAAAGCCTCATGTCTCTCCCTCAAATCATACAATATTAGAAATTATAAAAAAATGTGTACGTTTTTAGGATCTTTGAGGAAGTTCATAACAAAACCTCTGCCAGCTCTGGGAGGGATTAAAATTTTGTCTTGAAGGCCAATTTTTGAGAAGTAATTCCCTACTAGGCAGGTCTTTTAACCTAATGAATTTCTCAGGTCCTCTTGCTGAAGGAAAGCAATATCTGAGTATCTCAGGTTTATACAGTTTTATGAAGCAAAATTCTACCTTCTTTACTTGTTTGAGTAGACGCACACCCTGCATCTCTGGGAGG